TTTAATTTAATTGTTTGATTATTATTTTCCTTGAAGTTACTAACTCGTGTATTTTGTTATTAGAAAGAGGTACGAGGCATCCAAGTAAGTGCTTTAATTGATTTATTGATATTAAGATATAGAAATCATGTCTAGGTTGTTATTTTGATTCCTAGTATCATATTAGGATGTTTTATTGATTCCTAGTATTATGTTTAGGGAAAAGGTTATAATATCAAATATGACAATTGTGATTCCTGTGATGCTTCCTATTCTCTTTCTTAATATTCATGTTAGTATCATGTTAGGGTTAAAACTTTGATTTTTAATGTTTAGTGACATGCTAGGGTTTGTTATTAATCTTGTTAGTATCATGCCTAGGATCTTGCTATTATGCTTTAACATGATTATTTTAATTATGATTGTAATTTTGACTATTATTATGATGATTATTATTATGTTGCTTGATATTTATTGTTATTGCTTGATCACGCCTTTTATGCATGTTTAAAGGGAATTGATACTTGTAATCACGTTTAATAAGATAATTAATAATCTTGTTTAGGGTTTATTTGATTATAATTCAAGTGATCGCCAATAATAATTTATTTGTGTATTAAATTCAACCAACATAGATAAACAGGTTTAGGGTTAAACATATTGATTGCATGTTAGTCAGAAAGCGCACATGAATACGATCAGAATAAAGTAGAGGCTTATTATTAGGGCAGGTTCAATCTCTTTTAGGTAGGATTTGTACCTTCATCCCCGAACTACCAGTCATGGTTCTAGACCTAATGGAGTTGACGATCTCCTGGATCGTTAAGGGGTGTAACCTTCACCTTGTGAACGGTTTACAAGTTCCTAAAACTTGTAGGCGACTCTTTTGCTCTATCTTCCTTCCCTTTGGATGCCACCATGCTTAATTGTATGATCACAGTGGGGTTCAAGTTTGAGGTAACACTTGAAATATTCCCTATAATTGGGCATACTGATAAAGAGTGCCTTCATACTGAAGTTGATGATGATGAAGCCAGGGTAGTGTTCCAATATGGTCCTTTTCTTGTGGCATCCCCCCTTGCAAAGACCCCATATGGACGCTGCTGATCGTGAGAGGGAGAAGAAATGGATGGAAAATTTTTATCCCAAGGAAAGGTGTCCCGCAGTGTAGGCGTCGCTCGAAGTGCGCCTACGTTAAAAGCATGTGTGAATATGTTTGGCACTCATAGGAAGTGGGAATTGACATATACGATAAGGGACACGATTAGGGACAAGGAAAGTAGGGAGCCGCCAACAAGTTTTTAAGGAACTTGTAAACCGTTCACGGATCATAAAAGGCAACCACGAATAAAGGGACAACGAAGGAAACAACGATTGGCCCGTGAAGGTTACACCCCATTCATAATCCATGAGATTACTAACTCCATATGGTTCGGAACCACGAAAGGAGGATCGGGGCAGATGGTACGAAGTGAGTCATGGAGTCACATTCGCCCGTATTGGCCTCTACTCGATTCTTATAGTGAAAAGTGATTCCTGCGACCTCAAAGGCATACAAACAAAGATTCAATTTGCTCCAAACTATTATTAAGCTAAATTGGTTGAATATTAATGCAACACATAATTCTAAAATATTGTGATCACTTGATTTATAACAAGATTAAAAAGGAACCTAAGCCGGTTGTCCAAATTATCTTATTAGGCGTGATTTCCAATTACATATTCCCTTTAAACATGCAATATAGTGATCAATAAATAATAATAGAATAAACATTAATATTGGAAGCGATTCAACAATAATAGCGTTAGTCAAATCAAATATAAAGCAACCCTAATCATGATACTAGCAATATTAAAATAAAATAAGAGTAATTAAATTAATTAATTACTCACATTCTGCGCGTTCCTTTAAATTGCTACATCATGAATAAACTGTTAGTAACTTCAATAAAAATATAAATCAAATGAAATTAAATTAAATTAATGTAGATTTTATTGGTCCAAACCATCAGTTAATTATAACTTTCACGCCTTGGTTAAAGTATAGAACTTCGGGTATTGTATGGACTCCTTGGAGTGCTTAATTAGGGAAAGTATTTTGAGAAAATAGGATGGCTAATATTTAGGCTAAAGAGGGAGAAGAGAATTATTTTATGATCAAGCTTGTTGATTATTGGAAAAGGGGTGATATGACCTCTATTTATAGAGAAAAAAAAAGAAGGGTCGAAAAAACAAGATAAGATCCGAATTAAATCTAAATAAAACTCGATAGACAATAGTTTTTGCGGTTTTTGTTTTTATCATATCTTTTGATCCAAGAATCGGAATAAGATGAATAAGATGTCGTTGGAAAGATCTTGAAGTCTGCTTTCTAACCAAATTAAAATCATATTAAAATATTTTGTAGAATAAAAGATATGAACGAAATAGTGAGACGGTGTCAGTTTTGGATAGAGTTTGATATCTTATTCATATCTTTTCCGTATAGCTCGGAATTGATATTATAATATATCATTGGAAAGATAATTTCAAGGGCTATCCAAACACATAAAATTTGGATAAAAACTATGAGGCACGAAAATAATATATGTCTATCTTTGAATGTCTTTCAATTCAGATAGAAATAGGATTTAAAAAAAAAAAGTTTTTATTCAATTTCAAACTCTTTAATCTTATCTTTTCAAAATGGATAATTAAGATCTTTTAGAAACTTGTAGAAGCTTCCAATTAATCCTAATTGGTTTAGGAATGGATTAAATAATTTGGACCCTCCACATGATCATTGGGTCGTAGGTAAGGTGGGCTTAGGTTCGGTTTGGGCTCAGTTTAATATTTTGGCCACAACTTATTCGTAATAACTCGGATTTGGGCTTATAATATATCGTTGGAAAGATATTTTCAAGCCCTATCCAACCATTTAATCATTGGACCCAGATTATGGACCAAAATAAACTGGATCAAATATTTTTATAAAAAGGACACGAAATGAATTATTTTGGGTTTAAAGGCACGAAAAGAGGAAAATAAGTGAAGGTTTGGGGAAATGGGCTAGGAATTGGGTTGGTTTATGAAATGAAAATATGGATTTGGATATGGATTTAAGCACTCCAAAGATTAAATACTCAACCCGACCAATAATGGCGGTAAAAGGTTGTTCATCATCGGGTTTGGTTTTGGGGAGACATTTTTAGGTGTCTACACGCAGAGCTCTCTACAATGACCTTCATGTTATTCGTCTTGGCCCCCCAAGTGCAGCCCGCAAGCTTCTTTTCTCTTCTCCTCGCGGGGAGAATGTCTCATCTCCTAAGTCTAGAGAAGCACAATTGATGGTAGTGACTGACCCCCATAGTAAGAAGCAGGTGCTTCGCCCTTCTCCTATGCTCATGGCTTCGACCTCGCCAATTGACCATACCACAACCGAGACTGACTCAATATATAGTTCATGTGGAGAATATGACTGTGTGTTCGAAACAATTTCCTGCAAAGGCATTAGGTACTTGGAAAAGAGTTAATAGGAGTGTATCTTATTGTGATGATGATGTGCTTATGTGTGACAAAAGTTCTAATATTTCTGGTGTGAAAAGAATGGGTGGGGAATTGAATAATATGTCAGAATTACCCTTCTGGTCTTCATATCTTTATTTTGCGGTGCTTGAATTTGATAACAATAATATCAAAGGTCTATCTCGACAAGTTGTCATTGTGTTAGGGTTGGGACGCCTGTCATAGCTAGGCGTATGACGACCCGTCACTTGCTTCTTGATTAGATCTGACAAATACAGAAATGCAGTCTTCGTAATGATGTTTTTTATGTGAGTTCATTATTCTCGGGTTAACAGCCCAACTACTAATCTTCCATCTGTCTCAATGGGGGTCTCTAACCAATGAAAAACAACTTGCTGTACTCAGTGTTTTTTAAGGAAAAAAGGAGTTCGGGTGTTGTTGCTTCCTTAAATAAGAATAAGGAAAATTCTTCTTGCGTTTTCTAAACAAGGAAAACTATATATTTTAATAAATGCTGCACTTTTTATGGCACAATTTAACGAGAAATAGCATAAAAGCATTAATTTATGATTAAAGTGGAGTAGGATGAAAATAAAAAACCAGAAAAGGCAAACATAGGTATAAGGTCCGTTCATTTTGCTGAACTGAAATTATTTTTATTGATTTTATATTATTTTTTTATTTATAGTTACAAAGAGTAAGTGAAGAGCAATGAAAATATGAAAAATATGAAGCACTCCATATTAAATAATACTCCTAGGAAAAGAGCACTAGTGAAATAAAATACTACTAACTACTCCCTTCATCCCCAAAACTTCGATCCTTTTGGGTTAATTTCGCGGTTATTAAGAAAAATAAAAAAAAATAAAAACATATTGGAAAGATAAATTTACATGGGTTTATAACGAAGTATAGAGATAAAGTATCAATTACATACTACTAAAAGCGAATCTGAAGGAATACTTGGCAACATATTATTAAAAAAATTTCCGCCAAAATTACTTTCTAAAAAAATTGTTATAATATAAAAATAAAGATTGCATTTAGATTATGACTTTTTTTATATAAATTCTAAAATAAACTTCCTAAAATATCAACTTGCACATTATAACTATAAATATTTTCTCTCACATGTTTAAATTGTTTTTTTATATTTCATGCACTTTAATACCTAATGAATCGATTCATTAATTTTTATATAATTATATTATTATCATAATTATTCAACAACCGTGCATTTGCATGGGTTTTAACCTAGTTAAAAATAAAGAAAAAATAAAATTTTATATGGGGAAACTAATTTTGCATAAATATTGTTGTAAATTAACGCGTATTTTAATGCAAATGGATCAATTATTTTGGGACTAAAATTACGCCAAAAGAGTCAAAATTTTATGGACGGAAGGAGTATGGTTGTACTTTCATTTAAATGCGTTCGTAAAAGGAAAGTGAAATACGGAGTATTTAATACGAAAATACGCCCTACAAAACCTCTCCCGTTTTATATCGTTACTCTCTCTTGTTTTTACTCCGTTGTAGTGACAGAAATTCCAGGAAAAATTCGTTTCATTTTCATACTACTCTCACTCATTTTTTCCTCTCAGTAAAACCCCCCTAAAACTCACCTGCTCTTCATCTTCATCCCACTCTCTCCTCAAATCCATCTCCGCCATTTTTGTCGACCTTCATCTCTCTCCAATTCTCCATTCTCCGCCATAGCCAAACGATCGAGAACCTCGAGAGAGATTCCCACTCACACAACGAAGTAGTGCAAATTCAAATATAGAAAGAGAAAGTGAGGATTTCAATGGCGTTGTCTGCTTCAGACCTTCCGATGATGTATCAATTGCTCGCTAATTCTCTCAGCGGCGACCAAACTGTGAGAAAACCGGCGGAAACTGCGCTTTCTCAGTCCGAAAGTCGGCCTGGTTTCTGCTCTTGCTTATTGGTATATGCGTGTTTTCCTTTTTCTGATTGTTTATTTGATTTGTTTTTCAATTTCTAGGGTTTTTGTTGTTTGTGAATGTTTGTTTAATTTGTTTAGTGATGGAAATTTGGTTGCATGAATGTAAGGTTTTGAGTGATTGAATTATGTGTAATGTAGGAGGTGATTACTGCGCAAGATTTGGCTGCTCAGGTTGATGTTCGTTTGATGGCTACGGTTTATTTTAAGAACAGTATTAATCGGTATTGGCGAAATAGGCGGGATTCTATGTAAGATCATATATTTGTTATAATTTTGTCATTGTTGTTGTTGAATTTTATGTTTTTTTTGTTGCACTTTGATTGAATGTCACCAAATTTTGATTCGAATCATAGTCATTTGATCATTTCGCGTCAATTTGATGTTCTGGAAATCCTACCAAGCCACTACAACTATTTTTTATTATTGTTATATTTACTTTTTGTGGTGAAAAGGGTAATGTAATGTATGGAGTGATGATGGTTGGTTGGTTGCCAGAGAGACTTGAATTCACTTGGATGAAGATGTATGGACTTGAGTTGGCGAAGTGTTTTTTTGGATGTATAATTGTATTTGCTTGCCAAAAATCAAATTAAATGAACCATTCTTTCATTTCTTTGCAGTATTAACATAATATAGGTATTCTTATACTCACAATTTTCTGAATTATCAAATTGAATTTGTGACACCCTAGGACCCCAAATGTTCTTTGGTTTTTGCGATCATTTTAATGTTGAAATGCTATTTTTTGACACTAATTTCTCTTATTGATAATGAGTCTACTTGAACTATGAGTTCGATTATAATATGTTTAGATGCTGATAATACATTTTAAGCATGACACTAATTAATTACATCAATCAACTCACCTTGCCACAAGATAAAAGTTGAATGTGCTTGATTGAATAACCATTAATTTGATTATGAGGTCCAATTGGGAGGACTGTGTGCTGTCTTTCTGGAGTGTTTTTATTTTTATTTTTATTTTTCCACTGCTACTTGTTGCTGATAACTTGTTTTTTTTGATAAAATTTGGCTGGGGAGTTGTAACTTGTAAGTGCTGGCTTTTGGCTCCTATCACTGTTTTGGGTTACCCCAGCTTATAGTAGTAACTGAGGCATCTGTTGAAAACCAGAAACGTACTGGCTTAAATTTCTGCAGTATGCATTCAGAAAAAAGAACTTTCTGATCCTAAATAATCGAGCTATTATCAAATACATACTTTTTTGATGTTGTCAATTGGTGGATTTTTAATTCTGAACCTATCTTTTCACTGTTTTCTTCCCATGCCGTTGAGGGGGAGGAAAAGTATAAATTTCTGGCATCTTCTCTAGGACTCATTTGTTGAGTCTTATTGGATGATTCATTTCTACCGTGTTGTGACTCATCTCTTAAATGCTTTTCTCAGGGGAATCAGCGCAGAGGAGAAAATTCATTTGAGGCAAAAGTTGCTATCTTATTTGAGAGAAGAAAATGATAAGGTCATGTATCTATACTGTTACCGAACTCTTCATTTTGTTTGCAATCTGGGTGAGCTAGAGTTAAGGGCTAAGGGTGTGTTCTATTCACCAGATTTTCATTTATCTGAACTTACCAAAACTTATTTGAACTTACCGGAGCTTATCAGAATTAATTTATCTGAACTTATTAGACCTTATTAAAACTCATTTTAGTTGTAATTTATGTTTGGGTAATCCTTATCAGAACTTATTAAATCTAAACTGAACTCAACTAATCTGAACTTATTACACCTGAAATAAGTTAAAATAAGGTGAACAGAACAAACCCTAAGGCTGCATAAGCATTTGGGACTATGGGCTTTATATTATGTATAATGCTTTGTCTGCTCTTGTATAATAGTTTTTATCTTTAAAACATTGGAGTTTGTTTAGCTTTTCTTGGCTGCATCATACAGTGTAATTACTGAAATATCACTTCTTGTGGATTGCAGATAGCTTTGATGCTGGCAGTTTTGATTTCAAAAATTGCACGTTTTGATTATCCTAAAGAGTGGTAAGTGTGCCTACACTTGCTAAATCATCTTACAAGACACTTGTTTCCTGAGTTATTGCTCTAGTGCTCTTTGACTGAGTTTTGAGGAGTATTGTGGGAAGACATACCTTCATCAGGGACCCAACTGTTTACTTTATAAAAAATTTTCTCTAACTTTGGATTATAGCTGTTTAGATCAAAATGAGTATTTTTGACTGCATGCTCTTCTTATATATGTACTGCACTAGATCAAGAAATTAACTGAATAGTCTCTATATAAGTACTGGTTTAAGGTTGTAAACATGCATTTCCCTCTACCCAGCTTTGGTTGGGAGCCTTTTATAGAGGCTTTGGGTCAATACTGATGTTGATGTTACCTCAATATAGGGGATTAAGATGATGCATTTTCGTGTGACCAAGGTTTATGATCAATTTAATAATCTTCTGTGAAGTATCAGTGAAACACATAAACGTCACTCCAAAAGCATTAAAAGTTGCTCAGTAGCTCTTGTAGATAGGGAATTGCTGCTATACAATGTTTTACTCCTCTTTTTTTTTTGTTTTTGTTTTTGTTTTTGGGATGGGGGGGGGGGAGGCATGGCGATTCATGTTAGCCGACCCCAATTCATTTTGGTACTAAAGCCTTCTTGCTGTTTTTTTTTTTTTTTTGGGGGGGGGGGGGGGGGGGGGCGAGGGGAATGTTCAGTTTCTTGATGACTTGATGTTAATGGATTCTTGCTGGGTTCCTTGCTTTTTTTTGGACGGATATATAATTTTGGAGGAGTTACTAAGCTTATTGAGGAACATGTGAAAGTTATCGAGTTCTACTATGTTTTTTTTGTCACCACCAATTTGGGAAACTTGTGTAAGCCAGTGAATAAAAAGGCGCGTCTAAGGTGCTAGGCGATTAGGGTAGAGTGCCTTTTTTGCTTTAGGCGAGGCGCATTCAAAGAGGTGCACATAGGCGAATTTCTTAAATTGTTTTATATTGTGTGCCTCTCTAGCAGGTTCTTCATCGCCTCATTGTGCCTTGAGCCTTTTTATACATGATGTAAGCAAAGGTAATCTGGATTGAGGGAGAGACTTTAAAATTTTCAAACGCCACCTGAATCAGTTCATTTTTTTGTACAGTTTCTTATCAAATATTTGTTTGGAAATTTTGGAGTTGTCTGATGCTTTGCTACAATGCTGCTGAATAATACTAGTCATATATAGTTGTTTGAATGCAATGATGTATGGTGACAAGTTATGGTATCAGTTTATAACCCATTTAGTATTTGTTTAATTTATGCACTTTCCGTACTGTTGATATTCATGGAGGCTAACTTTGATCACTTGTTCAGGCCTGAACTATTTTCAATTTTAGCTCAGCAGCTTCAATCAGCAGATGTTCTTTCTTCCCATAGGATTTTTTTGATTCTCTTTCGGACTTTAAAGGAGTTGTCAACTAAACGGCTAACTTCAGACCAAAGAAATTATGCAGAGGTTTGGTTGGCTTTGTCCTTTTTAGCCCTCTTAATACATGTTCATGAGTTTGCTCTCATTGGCTTTATCTTGTAAAAGGGAATAAATTTGTACATGCCACCTAAACTGTTGCTTATTTACCATAATGATGTTTAAAAAAATAAAAAATAAAGATAAAATAAAGCTGCTGCCTTTGACAACTTGTTTTGTTGGTTTCTTGGCAGATTTCTTCCCATTTCTTTGATTACTGCTGGCTTCTCTGGCAAAGTGATGTACAGAGAATTTTGCATGGTTTTACTGAATTGGCACATAGCTTCAGCTCAAATGTCTTGGACCAGCATCAAAATGAGCTGTTTCTAATATGTGAGAGATGGTATTTGTGCTTAAAGATTATACGCCAGTTAGTTATCTCCGGCCACCAGAGTGATTCCAGATCTATGCAGGTGCTTCACATTGATTTTGTTTCTACAATGTTTGCATGATTGTCATATGCTTTCGCTGACTCGATTTGGCATATATAATGTACTCTTGAATAATTATTCTGTACCTACTTTTCAGGAAGTCCGACAGGTCAAGGAGGTTTCCCCCATGTTACTAAGCGCTATTCGGTCAATAATTCCTTATTGTAAGTTTTTTTTTTGTCTAGCATGGCATCACCCTCTTGATATTTCTTTTATAAAATGGTGTATAATTCAAAGGAAAACTCTGAATTTTTGTGTTTGTGATTAAATTAAAATGATAAATTTTATAAAGTAACTAGATAAAACTCAAAGGTCGCGACTTTGAGGACATACAAGTGTCTGTTGTAGGAGGTTTCCCCCGAGCTCATCAATTTTTTAAATGTTGAAACCTCTCATTTTATTGAAGATGTGTGGTGTTAGATAGGCATAACAAGCTATTCCCTCCATTCCTAAATATTGCATGCCTTATTCGTCCATTCCAAAATAAATGTATCATTATACTTGGTAGCTTTCTATCATAAATTATTATTTTATCTCCCCTCCCTTAGTCCCCACTCAATATTTTTTAAATTTCTTTTTTTGTTTCTCACGTTGTTGATGCATAAATAAATGATTAAAAAAATGGCAACCTTCTCACATAATATCTCTTTCATGGTCGTTGTTGCCCTTATATTATTCACTTAGACTACTTGCTTGTTAGATTGTTATAATACTTTCCTAAAAAAATCTTCTAAAACTTGTGCAATTTCAAGTAATGCATTATTTAGGAATGGAGGGAGTAGTGGATAAGAAAACGACTAGGCTATCAAACTTAAAAGATTAGAACACAAATAATAAGGCTCTTTGATTAAACAAAACTCTTATCTCTAAAACAAATATGAGAATTTCAAGAATCCTAATTTGCTTGAAACATGAAAATCCCACCTCAAAATTTGCCTTGTTTTTCCATTCCAATATAAATGCATGATTTTCATTCTCGGTAACTTTCTATCATATTTTATTGTTTCTCTCCCCCTTAGTCTCCACTCATTTTTTAAAAATTTCTTTTATTGTTTATTATCACTCATTGTCCTTCTTAAATAATTATAAAAAAAAACCCTTGCACATAAAATCTCTTTCATGGTCACCATTGCCCTTTTGTTAGAATAAATAATTCACCCACTTAGGCTTGCATGTTTAATTCTACAAAAAAACCTCTTTTAAAACTTTGTGCAATCTTGCGTGATGCATTTATATAGGAATGGAGCAGTAGATGAGAAAACAACTAGACTATAAGAACACTATTAATAAGATTCCATAACTAAACAAAACACTATCTCGTAAACAAATTTGAGAATCCTAATTTGCTTGAAACACGAAAAACCTACTCAACTTATCTGAATCTAGACTAACATAAAGTTAAGTTCTAAAAGACCATGAATGCTCTCGCATCATCACCTCCTCTTGGAAACAAACTTATCTTTAATTTTAGTACGTGGCAAACAACTCAACCTCTTCAAACCAATATATCATCAAAATTTATTGAATTGTAAATATTTGTATACAAATTTGTAAATGAATCGGGTGTACAATATTTATTATACAGTGATTGTAAAGTTATTCTAAAATGATAAAAAGATCCCTCGATATAAATAAAAAAAACTATGTTTTATTGATGAAAGTTACTCCTTCAAAGGATTAAAAATCGAATCTCAGTGATGTAACTACATTACCCTTATAAAACTTATCCCATGGCATATATATATGGAAAAATTGCTCCCATTAATCTGAACTTTGCCTCGTTCGCCGAAATTAATCCCAACTTTCGTTTATTATCTATCACTTCCAATTTTAGGAGATATTAATTTCTATTGCACCCAACAGGTCATCTAACCTGATGTAGCAAATTACCTAGACACGTGTCAACACGTGATAGTTCCAAAAAAAAAAAAAGAAAAAAAAAATTAAAACAAAAATTTAAAAAAAAAAGGAAAAATACCCAGCCCCCCACCCTATCTCGGAAAACACCACACCCCCACCCCCACCCCGCCGGAAAATCGGCACCCTTCCCCGAAAACCCCTCCCCCGCACCGGAAACCGCCGCCCAGCCACTCTTCCCTTCCCCCAGCCCCCCGATAACCCCTCCCCAGCCCCGATAACACCCCTCCCCAGCCCCCGATAACCCCTCCCCAGCCCCCGATAACCCCTCTTCACCCCCGATAACCCTTCCCCACCCCCGATAACCCCTTCCAGCCCCGATAACACCCCTTCCCAGCCCCGATAACCCCTTCCCAGCCCCGATAACCCCTCCCTAACCCCCGATAACCCCTCCCTAGCCCCCGATAACCCCTTTCCCCGCCCCGAAAACCCCTCCCCAGCCACCGAAAACCCCTCCCCAGCCACCGATAACCCCTCCCCATCCTCGAAATTGGCGAAGCCCAGCCACGAAATCGGCGACGCCTAGCCACGAAATCGGCCACAAACGACCGAAATCGGCCGATTTAGGGTATTCAGCCCCAACATCGGCCATTTTCGGCCAATATCGGCCATTTTTGGCCATCGGTGGTGCTGGTTTGGTGTGCGTCGGTGGTGTTCGTGTGGTGGTGGGTGTGGTGTTCGTGTGGTGGGGGTGCTGTTGGGTTGTTCTTATTATTTATTACATATTGACACGTGTGTAAAAAAAAAATAATCACAAATGTTTACCTGATTTACCGGTTGCAAGTCATTTGGGTGCAATAGAAATTAATACCCCTTAAAGTTGGGAGTGATAGATAATAAACGAAAGTTGGGATTAATTTCGGCGGAAGAGGCAAAGTTCAGATTAATGGGAGCAATTTTTCCTATATATATTAAAATCATATCAGATTTAATGGTAGTTCAAATTGGCTAAAAGTTACCCTAGAACTTTTTAATGTTCCCTAATATTGTATATTGGGTGTACACAAAAGTTTTTGATATTCCTAACACATTACACTACCCTTTGAATCTTTCAATGAATTTTGCCAATTAGGAAACACAATCACAAAATCATGAACAATAGCCAAGAAAATTTTTATGCTTCTCTGTTCTCTCTTGTAAGAAAAGTTGTGAACTTGTCAAAAATATTCAAAAATGTATATTTGTCACCTTCCTTGTTCACCACTTTAACAATAAAAATGAAATCATAGCCCCAATAGTATCAACTTATAAATTTTGTGTGGGATCAAAAATAGTATCAAATCCACTTAGCAGTTTCCACTTTTCCAGATCTATAGCATCAAAATCATCATATCACCTTTTATATCGTCAAGAGGAAATAAAACTGCCTCTTGTACTTGACCTTCATCTGGTTCAACTAGATTTGAAATCTTAACTGTCTTTAAGATGATAAGAATGTCAACCAATGTTTCAGTTGGAGGAGTAGTGGTACCATGTTCTTTTTAGTAAGAGCTTAAAGAATGAACCAAACATATAGCTGCGGCTTGTATGTTTTCAAAGCCGTGACCTTTGGGTTTTATCTTGTTATTTTATTAATGTTGCCATTATAATTCAATCATAAAACACAAATATATAGATTTCTTTTTGAAATATGCATCATTAAATCTGATGGAGCATGACTTTTGTTACTGAATTAGAAAAAAGCTAGAAGGTTCATTACCTGGAAGTTTATTTTTCTTAACGTCAAGTCATTGATTAGAACTTATATTTTGGGACTGGAAAAGTATTGTTTTCTCTCCTGTTAGATCTTTTCTGACCTGTATCTCATGCAATATGCTCTCTGCCATCTATGTATTTGTATGCACTTGTGAGCATCCTTGAATTATTCTTAGTAAGGGTTGTAATATAGTTGCTTTGTAGATAGTATCCTCTTCGGTCATTTTGATATTCAATTGGACCTGCTTTTACTCCTGTGCCATATATATCTTCCACTATACGTCTATACTATTTTGGGAAAATTGTCTTCCATTTGCCTACTTCAGTTAAAAGTTGCCAACCCTTTATGTTTAGTGGATCCTAGTCACCCAAACTTTTATTTTATTCTCGGTACTGGGGCATACTGTGTATTGACAAAGGCGAATTATGACACAATTGTTAATATTTGGCCCAATTAAACAAATTATGCAGTGGATTGCATATCGTACCGAATTTTATACCTGCGTATTCGGTAACTCTGCTTCTCACTCTCTGTCAACACCAGTCCTTTTTTCTCTCACAATCCGTACACTTTCTATTATTAGTATTCCTTTTAATATCCACTTTAATTTTTTTAAAAAGTAGTGTACCACTTTTTTTGCTCATCCCTACTATATTCTTAATGCTTGAATGCCTAGCCGGAAGATAAATATAGGATGGAAGGAATATATTTCAATTTTTTAAGTGCTTTTTTGTTGTACATTTGGAATGTCTCTTTTTCCTGGGCAAGGAGTTCAACTTACCAGATCCCATCTGTGTTAAATTGTGAAAACTTAAAATAGGGACATTTATGTCCACAAGAGTGTGGATAAGTGTTGGTTCCCTTTAGAGCTGTATGACTGTATCCTAAGCTGCATTTACGGAAACTTAACAGAATACTAGCCTCAGGCCCTCAGCCGGATCCTTTATTTTCATAATCCCTCTTATAATACCACCCTTGAGTACTATTTTGTCTACTCAAAGCCACCCCTTAACAATATATATTTGCTATGTTACTCGGACTCGGGTACCCATGTCCGACACGGGTATGTGTCCAAGTGTCCGACTCGGCTATTTTGTGAAAAAATTCTATGATTTTGAACTAAAATGAAGTGTCCGAGTGTCATACCCATGTCCGAGTGTCGAGGGTCCGACACGGGTACTTGAGGTAAAACAAAGAGTCCGAGTAACATAGTATATCTGGATATGGGTGGCTTTAGTGCCTGGTGATAGTGTGTGTGTGTGTTTTATTTTTTTTTTATTTTTTTATTTTTTTTTTTTTTTTATAATTATGTTGCTTCGAGATGGTTTGACAATAAAGGGTCTAACTAAGGGTGGTTGTTTGTGCAATTCTGTTTTTTTAATGGTATTTTGCTTCAAAATTTAAATATACATCATTTTTTGTGGCCTTGCGTTTATTTTATATAAAAGTCATTGGTAATCTTTGTATTTTGTAACATTCTTAATTATTGCAAACATCATTTTGTCGAAGTATGCTTTTTCCCTTGCTGTTAAGGAGCCAAAAATACTAAAATATAATTGTAATATTAGTGTTTGTTAATTGGATTCTCCGCTAACTTAAATATATGTTTTTTTTAATTGTTGGATCTAAATGCAGATTCATCTTTCCAAGAACGGCATCCTAGGTTCTGGGATTTCACAAAAAAAGCATGCACTAAGATGATGAAGGTTCTAATTGCTTTTCAGGGAAAACATCCTTTCTCATTTGGGGATAAGAGTGTCCTTTCACCAGTCATGGAATTTTGCTTAAATAAGATCACAAATCCAGAGGCTGAACTTTTTTCATTTGAGCAATTTCTTATCCAGTGTATGGTGTTAGTAAAATCTACCCTGGAATGTAAAGACTACAGTCTTAGTTTGATTGGTCGTGTGCTGGATGAAAATGCAGTCACTTTAGAGCAGAGGAAGAAAAATATCTCTTCTGCCATTGCTGGGAACCTTGCCTCGCTCTTCCCCAATGATCTTGTGGTACTTTTATGCAATGTATTAGTGCGAAGGTAAATTTATGACTGCTTAAACATACAGTTTTGCTACTTTTATCATCTTCAAATTTCATGTATTTGTAACTTGTAGGTTATAATCATTTCAAGCATGAATTAAGTCCTTGAATATCATTGGGTGTTTTGATAGTTAACAGGGATGCGACTGATACTTGAATATTTATCAGGAATATCGTTGGGTGTTTGATAACTAAGCCTCTGCCTGATTGTTGATTTAGGCACATGAACATTTTGGGTGCTACTGAATTTTGTGGGTCACCACATGATTCTTGCTGTTTGTCATGTGTTTTCTCCTTTCACTTTTTCATATTGATCATTTAATGAAGCATGTTGATCACAGTCCCTCTCCAAATATAGCATGTGTTGAACTCAAATATATCATTGTCAGTTTGCTAAGATAAAAAATCCCCCCCCCCCAACCCAGTCCCCCACGCTCGCGTGGGTAACTGCCAAAATGGTTCACATGCACAAACCCCCGTTCGACTTAAATGTGTACTGCTTTGGCTGTTGAATTGTATGATTTGTCTTCATCTGTATCCTTTAGATTTAAAGTTGTGTGTATCTAGCTAAGGCTGTGACGTCACACAGGTATTTTGTTTTATCAGCAAGTGATTTGGAAGAATGGAGCCAGAATCCTGAAGGTTTTCATCATGAACAAGACATGGTGCAGTGGACTGAGAAACTAAGGCCCTGCGCTGAAGCTCTTTACATTGTTTTATTTCACAAGTACAGCCAAGTAGGTGAAGTTTTATCTTTCTTAGACATGCCATGTAAATCTAGGGTGTCTTTATGATGTAGTCGTTAAAATTGCTTGCAGACTAGAAGATGCCTTGTGATATTGACATTACAATGGTTGTTTATAGCTGCTAGGTCCTGTGATAGTCTCCATTCTTCAAGAAGCAATGAGCGGCTGCCCTACTTCAGTCACTGAAATTACCCCAGGGTTGCTTCTCAAGGATGCTGCTTATGGAGCTGCAGCATATGTTTATTATGAACTCTCAAATTACCTAAGCTTTAAAGACTGGTATGTGTTTGCTTAAATCTCATCACTCCAAATTTTTAACTGATATTTGGTTACTGGTTAGCACTTTTGATATTTGGTGTTTATTCATATTGTGGATTTTTTTTCCTATTATTAAAGTTCAATATTTTTGTTTAGTTTTAGTGAAATGGCAAGTTCTCTGTGTTTTAGTTATAGATAATGAATATCTTTTATTCTGGAGTTTGAAATATGAGGACATAAAGATGTGTTTGTCTTATTGGCCAGCTTATAGTTTTTGGTAAGATTTTGTGGTTGATTCACTGAAATTGAGAGACTGAATTTTAGTTGATTCTCAACTGTAGGCAATCATGGAATATATCTGTGGAAATAAGTTTTATGTGCAGCTGTTAGGGAGCACATTTGCATCACTTGCCACCCCCCCCCCTCCCCCCAAAAATAGAGAAGAGAAAAAAAGAATGGTATAAATGTTTGATAATGAAAAGAAATCATTTTTTGATTGAGATGAGCCCAAAAAGCAAAATTTTCCCAGTGAATAGGTATGATAATGCTGGATAGATGAAGAATATACTTGAAATTTAAAAAGATTGGTTTGCATGATGAATAGATTATTCCTGTGTAGCTGGTCAATGTGCTGGTAGTTACTTGACTTACTTCTATATGTTTTGTTACTGGTGCTCAGATTTTAAAAAGTATTTTCTTGCATCAACTATTGTTGAAATGAAATAGCATGATGACAATTAAAATTTAAAATGGAGAAAAATGATGAGAAGAGAGTAACATCAATTTACTAAATTATGAGGATTGGAATTTTACTTTGGATTGGTGTGGGTATTTAGGGTCAGATTGATTGTAGGATCAAACTCTTGTGGACTCTTAAGATCTTACTTATGTACAAAAATGTAATTGTAATACTCCAATATATTAAGAATTGTTCATGTTTGAAATTTAAGAATACTGAAATTTCATTTTTATTTTTTGATTGGGTAAATTAAGTTTTTGAATATCAAATGGCAAAGGTTAATAAAATTTGAAACTCAAATTTTAGTTAGGATCCTTAGTTGTATGCAATGCTTGGCGTACATTATATCTTTTTCATATGCAATGCTTGGCGTACATTATATCTTTTTTATACAAATTTTTTACACAAACTAACCAACATTTATAGTAATGTGACTAATTGCCAATGTACCTGAGCTGAAAGATGTAGGGAAGTTTTAAAGTAGTTTCCTCTCTTGCTATGAAATTCAGTAGACACCAAAATTTTCTCTGTTATCTAGATAACAGTCGAGTTGATTATATAGGCAGTTGGCCAACCTACAATGTTAAAGTACTTTAATCCCCCCATTCCCCCCCCCCCCACACACACACCAAAGGAAAAACAAAACACAGTGTTTGAGCTAATGGCTTGATGTTGATATCTTTCATGATCAAGACAGTAGGCACATAACTTAAGCATGAGATGACAATGCTTTCTTTGGCCTCTGAACTATGACTTCTATCAAGTATCTCCAAGCTACGTAGTTGCTCTAAAGCCCTCCCTTGTTTTTGGACCCAACCTATGTTCTCAGATACTAAACTAACAAACATCAAGAGGGTTTTTCTGCTGGTTAGGTCGAAGATTAGACTATCTAATATATTTTGAGGTGAACTCTCTTTTTCTTATATTAGGTCAATGGTCAAGATTATGTCAGGAATTGTAGATTATTGAAATTGATGTAAGTGGTAAATTGGAGTCTAAATTTTATTTGATATTATGTATCTAATTTGTTTTGAGGATTGCCTATGATTAATCATTAGTGATAATATTCTCATTCTTGAAAAAAAGACAAGTATAACATTAAGTCCTCTCCTACCTCCTTGGATGACCTTTATTAACATTGGAAAATGATGGAATTAATGATATACTACCTCCGTTTCACATTTTTTGCAACTTTTGCCAAAAACATCTGCTACACATTTTTTGCAACTTTCCAAGTTTTCCATTTATAGTCAAGTTTTTAAAATGATATTACTAAAAGTTTAAAACACCCTTACTAAAATTTTCATCAGCTCAATTAGTTTCTTAAAACAAAACTGAATAAAGTACTAATCTAACCAAATTAATCTGATAATTTCCCCCAAATCTAATTCATTTCCCCCAATTAACCAACTTAACTCACCAAACAACATTCAACCCTCAACAAATCTTTCGACAATTGAAACCCAATTCTTGAAGTTCTTCTTCAAGTCCTTAATTTCTTTCTTTATCCTTCATCTTGACTCTCTTTCTCTCTTCCCTACGAAGACAAACCACCGGGGACTTTTAGCACGGATTTGAATAGAAGTCCAGGCCTCCATTAAAATACAATTTCTAGACCTTCAGCCTTTATAGATAATCCTTGACTTTTCAAATCCGTGCTAATAGTTAAAAACACACACTCACACACACCCCAAAAAAAGAAAAAAAAAGATATCCTCAAGAAATGCTGCTTGTAGAGTTGTAGGTATAGTGTGTGAAAATGCTGATCCTTGAATCTCATTTTTTTTTTTCTTTTTTTTTATAACCACAATCTACTCGTAAAGTATGGGTATCTTGTTATTGGATATGTATCCTTTTAGAAGATGAAACTAAGAGGTAAGTTGAGGTGTACTTTGCTTCTAAATTTTTTCTTTTCGATAATGAGGTTCTATCTGCTCTTTTGTCTGTGTATTTCTCTTTGGTGGCACCATATAAATTTAGTGATTTAATTCTGCATCAGCATAGTAACAATAGGCTGTGGCACTTGATCAATATTCTAGGTTTAATGGCGCGTTGTCGTTGGAACTAACGAATGATCATCCCAACATGCGTGTCATCCATCGGAAGGTTGCATTGATACTTGGTCAATGGGTGTCAGAGGTAACTATACTTGATTGTATTTCCATATACAATTATAGAGATATGTTGTTATGATATAAGTGACTAATACACTAATTGGTGGGTGTTTAAAAACAATTATTAAATTTGACTTGTTAAACTTAATGTTTTGCTCAATTTACTTTCTTCAAATTATTTCCATTGTCGTTTTGGATGTTTATGTTGGGACTGGGTGCTTATTATCAATTAGAGTTGGATGGATTGTCCCCCTCCCTTACCTTTGTTTCCTGGATACTAGCATTAAAAATTGTGATATATTCCCACACAATCTTTATGTCGGGACTGGGTGCTTATTATCAATTAGAGTTGGATGGGCTGCCCTCCTCTCTCACTTTTGTTTCCTGGATCTAGCATTAAAAAGTGTGATATATACCCACACACTCGCACCCACCCACCCACACACGTGTATGTATATGTAAGCTTGCCAGACTTCCTTAATTCCTTTACTCTATTTATGCCTCAACATTATTCAGGTTTGTTTTTTTTTTTTTTTTTTTTTAAAAAAAAACTGTATCTTTTTTTCCGAATAAATTGATAGATTAAAGATGATACAAAGAGATCGGTGTATTGTGCTGCCATCAAGCTGCTCCAGGATAGAGACCTTGCTGTGAAAGTATGTAATCCCTCTCTTGTTGCAAGTTGCTAATTGTTTTAGCCTCCTACCTTTTTATTTTCTTCTTAATGCTCATAGTTTCCAAATCGGTTGTTTTTAAAAATTTAATTTGTTTCCTTTTAACGCACAAGTTTTTTAAATGACCCAATTGTTGAAGAGGTATCAATTTTTTCCTACTCTAGCTGGCAGCATGTAGGACTTTGTGCTTGTTAATAGAAGACTCAAACTTTTCTGAGAAGGACTTCATCGATCTTCTACCATTATGTTGGGATTCATGTTTTAATTTGGTTGAGGAGGTTGCGGAGTTTGATTCAAAGGTAAACTCTCTTTTTTCATTTTTCTACCAATTAATAGTACTCTGTACGTAATCGAGTTCCCACTTTTATATATTTGTTCTTGGTCTCTACAATTCTTTTATCATAGCCAATTTAAACATCCACAAGACCCACTCTCTATGTGGATGTTTAAACCAAAAGAGTGATTGTGACAATATTTTATGTTGATTTCCAAAACAACTACTGATTTAGTTTTGCTGTTATTGTGGTCTTCTTCCAGGTCCAGGTTTTAAATTTGATATCTGTTCTTCTTGGACACATTGGTCAAGTAATACCTTATGTGGACAAGTTAGTGAAGTTTTTCCAGAAGGTATAATTTGAATCTTTTATTTGTTTTAGCTAGTCAATATTAGAATATTGATTGATCTGTTGTCAGTCCTCAGGAGCAAGTTCCATGATATGTTTGTTTGTTAACTCCTTAAAAGACAATCATGGCTCTTGCAAGATTTTTATTTTTCCTTCATTAAAAATGGTTACAACAGCAATCACCTAGTAAAAATTATGTTATTCAGGATTTTGGGGAACAGGGGAAGTCAATCTTTATGAAATTTATACCTAATGATGAAGCTATTTTGTGAAAATCTCAGACTGGTTGAGTTTTCTCATTTAGCTTATTGGGGTCTGACTTAGTGTACTAATGTTGCAGAGTAACAATGAATCTATTGTTTTGATATATTTTTTATATACTTGGGTCTATAGCCGGCTATGGTAAAAGACATGGAATTCTTCTTTCAAGTTATTGAGGCAGATCACCGGCACTTCAAATTTTGATTAGCTTTTGTGAAAATATTGCTGTGACATTGCTTCTTTTTTTAGGCTGTTAGTGCACCACATCTTTGCAATAGAATTGAAAAATAATTAGTTCTGCAATGCTTAAGCCTTTCTTTGTAGTGTGTCATTGGTGAGTTTGGTATGGTTTATAGTCATATTGGTAAAATAATCGTTGTATATATGAGAAGGAACACAGTTCAAGCCTAGTCCTCTGCCTTTTCTTTCTAAATTGGTTGGAAAGAAAATCCCCCTCTATTCAAGAAATGACAGTCCTCCTTGCTAGCCTGGGATTGTGATTCTCAATTATATTATCCCTCTCATGTTGAAGGATATTTTTGCTCTTAATTGGATATGACTTTCCGTTTATAGTATCTTCCTTGATTGTAAGAGGATATCAATTTCTTACCTGAAATTTCTATCTATCAAGGTCTGGGATGAATCTTCTGGAGAGAGTCTTCTGCAAATGCAGCTTCTAATTGCACTAAAGAACTTTGTTGTGGCCCTTGGGTATCATTCACCTGTATGCTACAACGTATTACTGCCCATTTTGCAAAGAGGAATAGATGTGAATGGTCCAGATGAACTCAATCTTATGGAGGACAGTATGGTGGTAAGCCTTTATTTCCTTTTTATGGGTGTGCATTCTCAATCCTGAAATGTTAATGGGTTAATTTATAATTTGTCTTGCAGTTGTGGGAGACTACCCTTACTTATGCTCCATCAATGGTTCCACACCTAGTGGACTTCTTCCCGTGTCTTGTGGATATCATTGAAAGAAGTTTTGATCACCTGACGGTTAGATTTTAATTTTCATTTTCCTTGCATTTTTATTGTATAGGTTACTGCCAACAGTTACTCCCTTCGTTTCCCGTTTTTTGCATACGAAGATCAAGTGTGTACTGTGTAGTAACAAAGATAGAAATATAAACAAAGAGAGAGAGAGTAAATTTTTTTTTTTTAATTGTCATCTCTATACTCATTTGAACTTGAAAAGATATTGGGACAAACTGTTTAAAGAAGAGTATACTCCCTCTGTTCCTTTTTGTTTTACTCACTTTCCATACTAGTTTGTTCTTTTTTGTTTTTCTCACTTTCCATTTAGTTCATTCTTTTTTGTTCTATTTACTTTGCTTTATTCTATTTTTGGCCTGTCCCCTTTACCATCTTACCTCTTTAACCCCACTATACTTACATCTTTCCACACCCTCTCTTACTTTAATTACCTTTTTCCTCACACCCACCCACCCTTTTACATCCTTTCTATTCTTTTATCCTACTTATCTTACACCCACTCGCATTCTTCAATATTATTTTAAAAATTGCATATCTATAGTAATTGGGTAGAATAAAAAAGAATAAAGGTAGTGTATCACTCTCTGTTTATTTTTTAATTTATTTATTGATAAATGAGGCAAATTTGGTATTCTTAATTTGTGATTAACATCATATGTGTAAGTATGATTGAGTAGATTAGTAGTTTGAACCTTTTGAGGGTTATTATTAGGTCCCATTTATCCTAATTAAGTTGACAGGTTTGATTTTGTTTCTTATTGTTTGTTATGTGGATCTTTTGTAGGTTGCGGTTGACATTATCGAAGATTACATTATCTTGGGTGGTACTGAGTTCTTAAATCGCCATGCCTCTAGTGTAGCTAAACTTCTGGATATGATAGTTGGAAATGTAAATGATAGGGGCCTTCTGTCAGTCCTTCCTGTCATTGATATTCTAGTGCAGGTATGCCCTTTAATTTTTACATGTCACTTATTTAATGTGAAAGTTATATCATCAGCTGATTGTACGAGTACCACAATATTCTGATGTTATAATGTGTATATACCAGTGATCATAAGCCTTCATATTATCTAGCTGCATGTCATAGTCTCTAATATTAATGCCTAAGTTAAATAGACTCTGTTCCCTAATATTTACTTGCATCTACATGATTTAGACACCTCTATAGATGTTTATACCTTCGATGGGTAGGAGCTTCAGGGGGTGTTGGGGTCAGCTCTGTGAATTTTTGGCTTTTTTGTCAAGTAGGTGTGGCTTTGCGTCTTTTTGGCTTTTGTTTGGTGTAGTTAACCATTGATCTGATTGTGTGTGATATCTTTCTACTGACATTTTGATGAGTCATCTGGAATTAGATACTCACTCCGTCCCCTTTTGTTTGTCACTTTTGAAGGAAAATTACGGGAATTAAGGTGGAGAATGTGAAATAATAAAAGTATATGGGAAAGTGAAATTCCCAACCAATAAAATTTAAAAGTGCATGGGAAAGAGACATTTCTAATTAAAAAAGTAATTCAAGTACATGGGAAAGAGAAACTGAGAGATTCAAGAGTGTAAAACATTAAATTAGTCAAAAGTTGGCACAATTTTTATGGCAAATGTTTGGGTAAAATAGGAAAAAGGCTTAATAAGGACAAAATAAATGAGGGTATGAAAGACTTTTTATGTATCTTAATAATTATGAAAATATGAAATGTGACAAACATATAGGGGCACCCAAAATGGCAAAAGTGACAAATAAAAGGGGACGGAGGGAGTAATTGATTAATTCAATGGTCAAGTAGTGTAAATCGGACACCATATGAATTTGGATTTCCGAAGTATGTATCTGTTTTTGTGTTACTAATAAATAAATTGATATCATTGGAAAAAAAAGGTGGCCAGCTTCTATGATATTTGATATTCTCGTCTGTCTCATGCCTGAATTACTACTTAAGTATTTACTTCTACAGTGCATCAGCACTACTACTTACTACATTTATCTTTCCTGCAGTGCTACCCTATGGAAGTACCTCCACTTATCAGCAGTACTCTTCAGGTGGTTATATCTTCATTGCTTATAAAATTTGAAGCTCTTCGTATAACACCATAATAATTGTTTTTCTTTGCCTTAATGTGCTTACAGAAATTGGTTGTTGCCTGTTTGTGTGGAGGAGATGAGCGTGACCCCTCTAAAACAGCTGTAAAATCATCGTCAGCCGCCATTTTAGCGAGGATTTTAGTGCTGAACACTAATTACCTTGCCCAGTTGACATCAGAGTCTTCACTTTTGGAACAACTCCAAAGTGCAGGTTTTCCTATGGAAGAAAACTTACTTCTCTGTCTGGTTGATATATGGCTAGAGAAGGTCAGCGTGATATGCATTATTTATGTGTTTTTTTTTTTTGGTTCCAAATGCTTATGTGTCTTATCCAATAGTTTCTGAAAGTATTTGGAGAAATTCTATTAGTTCACAAAGAATCGTAATATGGGGGTGTTAGGGGCAGGGAGTGATAAGAGGCATATCTTAAGATAGTTTGTTTGGGAATTCTCAGTAGAGTGCTTATAACTTGCTAAAATCATCATTTATAGGTAATAGCCAATTGGTTGAAGATCCCTGTTGGTGGTCATAATGGTGGGAAAATTAGTACTTGCACATCATTCTTAAACTGATTTTGGAAGGATGATTTTGTGTTAATCAACAGAGTATTGAGATCTGTAGTTTGGCCGTGATAGGATAAAAACCTTTTGTTGCAGAAAAAGTCGGTGTTTGGCAACAGGATTCTCTGATCCAAGATCCCAATTAGCTCTATCGTGTATCAGATATCCTTTTTACTTTATATCCCTGAATCTTTAATTAGTTGTGCAATGAGTGACTGAGAAGCTTTTGGTTGAAATATTCTTTTCTGCCAGTCGATAATATTATTGGTCTATGATATGCACGTTCACTTTTATTCAGGTACCAAAGTCATATTCTCATTCATATCCACTTGTAATTTATAAGTTAAATAGTTGGTCATTAGTGTACAACATAAGTATATATGATTTCTCCAACATATGAATTTGCTTGTTTTCAACGACTTCAGTTTAGGTTGGAGGAACCTTGTCGTTGAATAGAATATGGTTAAATTTGGGATTTTTTTATTGGCAGGTGCATTGGAAGTGCTATTTGCTGCAATAATCCTTACAAATTACTCTAGCTATATTCATATATAACTGAATTAGTTTGATTTGCATGTACTGGGACTATCTGAGCTTGCAACATATTCTTGCATTGATTTTCTGTCACAGTATGAGTCTGCTTGTTTCCTCTTTTCTCAGTCTGATTTTGGTTGATTACAGGTTGATAATATGACTTCAATTCAGAGAAAAATAATTGGCTTAGCGCTGTCTGTTATTTTGTCCTTAAGGCTACCTCAAGTTCTTGATAAACTTGACCAGATCCTCAGGTAATTAGAAAAATGAAAGTGATGTCTTCCTTATCCAGTACTAAGCTGTTTCTCAATCTGATTATTTGCTCTGTTTATTCAGTACTTGTACCAGTGTAATCTTGGGTGGTAATGATGACTTGTCTGAAGGAGAGTCCAGGTATGATAGCTGTATGTACTTGCAGAAAATTACATCCAATAACATGAACTTTTGGCTGTAGTCCTGTCAAGACAACTACCCTTCCCTACTCTTCTTATATACTCGTATCTTTAATCACTGCAATTTGCCAGTTCACCACAAAACAACGGAATGTGTCTTTGCTATTGTTTTACTTCTTTCACTGCAAGCAGATCTGACTTATGCCTTCATCTGAGTGTATGATGCTACCATCCCACCAACATATGCTTATCTCACTGCCCCTTGGTTCTAGATTCGTGTCCATCCCTTCTATCTTAGTTCTAGATTCATGCCTATCCCTTCTGTCTCTAATTGATTATATCATTTAGTAATCCGAAAATAAGTTGCATAAAAATTGATGAATTGGGTGGGCAACTTTAATATGCGAGTATATTTTCATTTCTCCTGGGTGATCTCTGTTCCAAGACGTTTCAACCATTTCTGGATGTTCAAAATTTTATGATAAGTTTTTAAAGTCTCCGGTTCTGAAACAGTTCACAGGTTTTTAAACATTTCTGTGCATCAGAGAAACTTGTGCCTCAGATGTAAATTTCCCTATGCATTCCTAAAATTAGGTGTCTGATGTGTTGATTGACCCTGATAGGCCATATTATTTGTTTCCTCCCCTTATTTATTGGTGATAACATGACTTCCATCAGGCCTCAAATTGAAGGAGCTGTTCTGAGTAAAGAGTTCAAGAAGCGCCAGGTAAGCAGCAAAAAAAACATTGTTTGAAAATAGTTTATTGTTTTTTTTTTTGGAGGGAGTAAGATATGTGTGTGTGTGTGTTGGGGGCGACTGAGGTTGACATGTGTGTTTGTTTCATTGTAGATCAAATCCTCAGACCCTATCAATCAGATGTCACTGGAGAATGCAGTGAGAGAAAACCTTCAAACATGCGCTGCCCTTCATGGAGATACCTTTAATGCTGCAATAAATAGAATGCATCCTTCAGCACTTACGCAAATGAAGCAGGCATTGAAGATGTCCTAACAACATAATTGTACTACTGCTTATTTTCAACATTCACTCCTTGCAATTTTTGATAATTCCATGCTTGGAGAAGTTGAGGTTATATCCCTGAACCTCGTATCTATTGTAAGTTTGCTTCTTTTCGTTTCCCAAACCCCCCCCCCAACTGTTTCTCTTATGTTACATTTGCTGGGTCTTATTGCTCGCTTCTAATCATGCGAACCAAACACAAGCCTAGGCTACTAGCTATTCCCCTCCCTTAAAGTGCATCTAGGTTGGATTGAATTCCCAATTTCAATCAATGCTGGAAAGAACCATCTTAACTACTAGACCTTAGCTTGTGGTATTTTGTTGACTTGTTGTCTACCAACAGCCCCTTTATACTTTTTTTTTTTAACTTGACCTGATTTCATGTTGCTTTATAGGTGAGTGAAGATTTCATTGCCAAGTGTTTTTGGTGGCAAGCTTGTTGCGTGATGCGGATTCTTTATGATTCTTTCGATTTGTGTTGGGCCTTCTCCCCTCTTTTTTAGTTTACATTTTCTTTTTCCTCATTATTCTTGTTGTTCTTTTAACCAATACCTTAGCCTCTTGTACATGCCAATTGTGGTGATAGGAACTCTGTACATAGGCATTGAGCATGTCTTTGTATGTATTCCTAATTCCCTACGCAAGAGTCAGCTATAATTTCATAGATTGTTCCTCATGTAATGAGATATCACAGGAAGTAAAAGCCGTATGATTGTTTTGCCTTAGTGTAGTTTGTAAATTGTGGGGAAAAAAAAAAATCAAAGATAACATGTTTTGACATCTCTTGTGCTCTCATGTAATACTTTGTAAATTTTGATTCATCCTTTGCCATTCCTCCTAGTGGCTAGTGGTGGGTTTTGTGGCATGGATAGCCATTTAGGACCAGTTATTATCAATTATTTTTAGGGAAAAAAAAAAAAAAAGAGCATTGAAAAAAATTAAGAATTGTTCTCATGAATTTATTATTCGTATTCTATAAGTATTACAATTTTGTGGTTTTCATCCTGTTTATTTGTACTTAATTTTATAGAGTATTGTAGCCAGATGTATAAATTTAACTATTTCAGCTTCAAAGAGTATATTCATTACACTTTGAGATGTTTTCATTTGTTGACTTTAAAATATATATTCAAATTTGATCAAATACATTAAACAAAATTTCTAACTATGAAAGCATGGTTCTAATAAGGCTATATCGTCATATTAAAATTTTGGTCAACTTAAATGTTGAATATTACAAATTCTTGAGCGAGGATTAAGGATATGCAAGTCATCTATATTGTCATGAGATACAAATCGGTGCTAAACATTACCCATATCCAATTGTGCACCATCGCCCCCATACAGTAGCATTCTATGGATTGTTTCCCCTTTTTCTCCGCTTTGAAAATGGTTATATTTGTTTCCTACCACTGCTTCTCCTTGATCAGAAAATGAACATTTACTAAATTGAAAACTGATTAACCTATTTTGAAACATATATATATTTCTTATCTCAATCAGAGTAATCCAATACGAGTAGCAATTGTTATTTAAATGGATATCTTTAATTTTATTAGTGAATTTTATTTTGTGTGAGAAATAGGTGAAATATATTTTTATTTTTTTAAAAAAAAACCAATGCACATGAAGACTAATTATAATGATCGTAAGAGCTATATGTCACGTGTCGACTACGTTATCCTAGTCACGCATACGTTTCACTCTGGCACTGCTTCTATACAAAGACTAGAATAGACCCGATCTACAATAACTTATTGTAAACCCAACCTTCTTGTATACCATACGAATGTGATTATATCATACGAGATGTGATTATATTACTACAAAAGTGATTATATCATTTTGAAACTGCTGTGTAAATGTATAGCTCAAAAAGTGAATTTATCATTATAAAAAGTATCAAATAGTAAATTACATCATTTCAAAACATGATTTTTAAATTTTATCATCCTAAAGATAATTATATAATCTCATTAAATGGTTTAATATGAGATTACATAATTCAAAATACGACTCACAAAAAGATAATTATATCATCTAAAAAAGTGATTATATCATCCAAAATGTGATAATATTATTTGAAAGTGTCAAATTTTGGGTCTACAATAATTTATTGTAGACCGGGTCTATACAAGACCAATTGCTACTTCTATTCCCAACAATATAGTACAACCCTTGTACTAGGGGAATATATTTGGTAGCTCGTCTCCTTAGTGCCAAATAAACCCCTTGGTTGAACTAAGTACTCTCCCTTAGTGGCTAATTCTAAATTTACAACTAAGTGTCGTAGGCAGTGGCAGATCCAACGGGAGTTCATGGATCCAACTGAACCTGTAAGATCCGGAAAAAAAAACATGAATTTTATTTTTATTTTTTTTAAAATGAAAAATTATATAAATATTTTTGAAGCAATCATGTACAATATTAGGTTTGTAACTCAATTGGATAGGTTAGTCTATAGTTTTTTTTTTGAACGGGAAGAATAATATCATTAAATAAGAGTCATACGGCATCTACAATAATAAGGATCTGTAAACCACAGATTTAGAGAAAATAACATAACTTTTACAATCAAAATCATAACTAATTTGCATATTTGGCATAACTCATACTCCACTGCTTCAAGCTTGACGCGAGCAATGATTTTCGATGTCTTTGCATCTTTCCAAGTTGAGACTTCCGCAATCTGCGCTGATGTTTTGATCGATCGGTTGATGACAAATCCTAGACCCATAGGAATCCAAATCACCTTCCCAATTATTATAAGAACCCTAAAAATAAAATTCTCATCCATAGATGAGAATCAAAATCCCAGAAAATTGGGAAAAACCCAGAAAATTGGGACAGACTCTCACAGATGGAGAGAACAAAACAAAACAAATAAACCAAAACGTAAAACAAAATAAAAAAAAACCTAAATTGAATTAAAGAAAAAGGGTCGAAAATAGTCTAATTTCTGAAGAAATTAGACTATTTCCGGCCTAAACGACCAAGAAAATTAAAACCCTAGAAGAGAGAGGAGAGAGGAGAGAGGAGAGAGAAGAGAGAAAAAGGGGCGGCTTAAAAAAATAAGTTTTAGGTTACTCTATAGTTGAAAAATGCAGGTTTCGAGATCGTTCTCGGTAGGACGCAATTTGAGTTTTTTTTGTTTCTTTTTAATTTTTTCCTTGTTTTCCCTTTACATCTTTTCTCGCTCTCTTTTTTATTTTCCTTTTTAATTTTCTTTTCCTTTTTTCCCCTTACACTGTAACTTTCGTTCTCTTTATTTTCTCGCTCTTTTTTTAAAGATATAATTTATTTACAAAGTAACTACTCGTAACTTATTTTACTAAGGATAAATTCTGACGAATATATCTCAACATAGTGAGTTATAGGATAAAGACACATCACCAAACAGATAGTTAAGGTATCGCATATTATAACGCCGTTAAAACGTCTTTCTATATAGATGTTAAGCTTATTCAAGATTTCAAGCAGATCAGTCTCAATGAAGTTTTCTCTATCTATTTTCTATTAAGTGTTATTGTGTTTTTTTTCAATCAATTTTTGTTTTTTTAAAAAAAAATTGTTTTTGAGTTTTTCAGTTTCTTAATTGTTAATATGTTGATTATTTTGTAACTTTTGTTGAATTGTTAACTTAAATAAATAAATGGGCAGTAGATGTGTTATTGTATGAAAACTCGAAAAATGCTTTGTAATTGGAACGTTTTTAAAGTATGAAAACTCGAAGAATGCTTTTGTAATTTGCATCTTTTTAATGTATTGTATCTTGACATTTAATCAAAGTCACGTATTATTATATCATATCATTTTATTTTACAATTTTATTGAAATTTGGACTTATTTTGTGGTGTACTTGTGTATTGGTATTTATTTGAACACTCTATATTATACTTGAATACCCAATTTATATCCCTGCATTTGAATATCGGGTGTTTGATGAAGTTCAAACCTCCTAGGTAAAATTCCTGGATCCGCCACTGGTCGTAGGCAATTGAGCACACAAACCAACACTCTTGCTAGTATGCCCGAACACTCACTTAGCACCCTCGTTCCTGTTTTAGGGAAGAGATTGAGTTGGAAGAGAACACAGGTGATTGAGTTGGAAGAGAACATAGGTGCTTAAGAATGCTTCTTATATTGAACTCTCAATTTAAAATGTACAAACGAGCCTATTTATTGTGCTCCACCCTAGTTACAAGCTTCTCTAGAAACTTCCTAATCTCCTCAAATGGAGGGCTTTAGACGACGACTATCTAGAGAGTTCCCACCTCCAAAGAAACCTATGAACAAGGAGGTTTCTACAACTTTCCTACTTAGAATGATAAAGATAAACCTAGAACATTACACCACGCGTTTGTTCTGTTTATCTTATTTTCACTTATTATTGGTGTAGTAAGTACTGATAAGTTGAATAAGTTCTATTAACTTCAAATAAGTTCTGTTAAGTTCAGTTTAGGAAAACTAAGTTCTGATAAGGGTTACCCAATTACAACTTACAACTAAAATAAAATTAACAAGGTCTAATAAATTCATGTAAGTTCATATATGTAATACCTCATATTTTTATACCTATTTTAATTAAAAAAAGTATTTTGAGAAGTATTTAATTAAATTGAATTGTTTTATTTAAAGTATTTTAATTATTTATTTTAAATAAGTTTTGAAATAATTATAAAAGGAAAGTTTATTTAATTAATTAATTTAATTAATTTGGGGTTTAATTTAAGGAAAGTTTTAATTTAGTAAAGTTTTATTAGGGATGTGATTAGGAAAATTAAAAGAGGAAAGTTAGGAAAAAAGGATTTGTAGAGAAGGGGTATAAATATCCCACTTATTAGGCAAATCAACTTTGCCTAGAGTGGAGAAAACCCAAGGTAAACTTCTCTCTCCTTTCTCTTTATTTTCTTTCTTTTTCTTTCTCTTTTTCCCCTCCCCCTTTTCTTTTTATCGGTTGCCCCCTTCACCACCACTGCCTGCCACCGGCAACAGGTAGCCGCCATCGCCAGCATCATCAACCGCCGGCAGCAAGCAACCATCGGCGTTGGCAGCCGGCGTGGTGGTTGCCGCTGCTTTCTCTCTTTCCCTTTTTCGAACATATATATATACTTCCTCCGTTTTCTTTTAGATGCAACACACCCTTCAGCCCGGTAATTAAGAAAGGTGGGGTTTACATGATATAATAAACTTTAAAATAGGATGAGTAGTTGTTAGGAGTGTAATTTAGTGGGCCATGTGCTTTAAATAAGGGAAATAGTATAGTTTTTCCCTAAAGTAACTTTCCTTTTATAGTGTGTTGCAAGTAAAAGAAAAAGGAGGAAGTATATATATATATATATATATATATATATATATATATATATATATATATATATATATATATATATATATATGTATGTATGTATATAAATCTTTAATGTTTAAAACTAATTTATGCCTAAATCTAATTGTTAATTATGAGTTTTGGGATTTGATTTTGTTGTTTGATTATAAGTATTATGTTAATTAAATTTTTAGATTATGTTTTTAATTAAAAAGCCCCAATTTTTAAAACCCTAGTTTCTTGATTTGTAAATTATTGAAGGGTTATGATGTATAATGGTTTAGACCTTTGATTAAAGTGTTTTAAGACTTAATTACAGCAAGTTTTAATTAAAATATAGCGCTGAAATTTTTAGTAGAGCAATTAAAATCAAGTTTATGGCCTGTTTGGTATGGAGCATTTCATTTGAAATGCTGGAATTGGCCCAATTGCCTTGTTTGGGTGTGTTTGTAATTTGGGAATTGGATTTGGCCCAATTCCAAGGTTTTGAAGACATAAGTTTATTTTGATAAACTTGAAATTCCAACTCTAAGCCCATCATTTCAAATTCCAACATTAAGTAAAAAAATTAAAGACCCATCTCTTTCTTTGTTGCCCAACACTCACTCCCAATTTTCTCTCTCCTCCATTGAAGCAGGTTGTTGTAACACCCCAATAATTCTCTCTTTAAACCTGTGAGGACCCTGAACAATTCCAAGAGAATTACTGGCGTGCTACCGCCACGTGTTCAAACGTGAAGACTTTATCAGAAAATAGCAGCGGAAAAACTAACTCAGTTATAAATAAGTTTCAAAACCAATAACCAAAACCAAATTAAATCTTACAACTTGGAGGGAGAAAAAGGTGCGGAAATTTAGGCAGGGATCTGCTCGGATTCCAAGCTCAGGATGTCTCTATCAAAGAGTGAATGTGTAATAAATGGTAAAACGTGCCCTCAAAATGAGGGACATCTCCCTATTTATAGGGTCTTTGGAAATTGTGCCCCTGATTAGGTTATGGAACCCTAATCATTGGTGGGTTGCGCCGTTTTGCAGCGTCCTCGGGATTTGGGCCTGAAGGCCGCCATTTTCCATTTATTTCTGGAGTGACACATGTCAAGCAGGGATTGGTCCACTTTGGGCCATCCTGAGGCTGACACGTGTCATATCATCCTCTGATTGGACCACGTGGCGGGGTAAAATTACCCTAAACATTTGCCCCTCACAGATGTGACGTGGCACGCCACGTGGCATCTGTGACACATGTCACGCTCCGGTTGGCGGTAATTTTAACGTTAAAGAGTAACCGTTCACCTTCCGAGTAAATTACGGAAATGCCCCCATATTTACCCTCTATATATAGCCATTTTACCCTCATAGTTTTGTACGTTTACAAAAATTTCCTAGAGAGAAAAACTTTGAGAGAGCAGAAGTCATCCGTTTGAGTCAGACGCGAGTAAGAAAGTTTGTTCTTCGACGACCCAGCCGGACCCGCCTTCCTTCAGATATCAAATCCAAAGGTACCGTCTCGGTCTCTCTCAGCTCTTTTCTTTTTTCACCGCTTGTACATATTTCTTGCAATAAGTGGATGCATCACCAACACACACGGCACAACCTAGGTTGGAGTCCAGCCGTTCACCAGGGACGGCTGAGTCTAGGACTGGGAGTGTCGTCTCGGGGTGTTGGGACCACCCTTTGCCTTGGATTCCGACCAGTTATGTGTCTGTGCAGGACACCATGGCTCGGACAATGCAGACGGCAACGGATCCAAATTACAAAAGCGAAGGCTCAGGCGGCCAAACGCTTGAGGGAGAAACGTCTGGTCAGGGAGGCCAGACGGCTCTAGAGAGATCCCCTCCGCGCGCCCCTTCAACCCCTGCTGACTCTTTCTTGGAAGAGTGTGACCAAGGCGGTGACGAGGCCGTCTCTGCCCCCTAGGGTCAAAGTGAGGAGGAGACGGAGAGTGACAGCTCCGCCTCTACCTCTGAGAGCAGTGATGACTTACCCCCGCTTCCGGATAGCGAGGAGGAAGAAAGGAAAAAGTGGAGCGAGAAGGATGATCCCTTCAGCATCCACGTCTCTTCCAAGGACCGGATCCAAAAAGAGGAAAACTTAAAAAACTTTACGAAAATGCACCCGCTAGGAGACGGATATAGGATCCGGGTGCCGCCTGAGCTTGGCACCATCGCCTGGGGGGACGATCAACAGAACGCCAACAGCTATTTCGGCTGTTATGAGGCGGCGTTCAAAGCTGGCCTTCGCTTCCCCCTTAACCAGGCGGTGAAGGCAATTTTAAGAGGCTACGGCCTTGGGGTTTGGCAACTTACCCCCAACTCTTGGACCAACATTCTGGGGTATGTTGCCGCCTGCGAGTTCCAGGGGCTTAACCCCGGCTGGGAGGCTTTTGCAAGCATGCACTATCTTAGCAGAAGCCCAGGCGGCTGGAGGGCGTGGTACACTCTAACCACGCAGCCGCAATATATGATGACCTTGGACAAGGTCTCAAAGTTCGATGGCTGGAAGCAAAGGTTCTAGCTGATGTCAGCCCCAACCAGACGGGAAAATTATGAATTTCGTCTGTACATTAAGAAGCCCGACTTGTTGGGCAGGAAGTGCGCTCATCCCTGGATCCCAGAGGAGGATTTTGACAAGATAAATGAGGCAGACTTTTTCGGCCTCACAGACGCAACTCTATCAACCGGGGAAACAATAAAAGTCCCCAAGAATTTGATCCCCAAGAGCGCTTGGTTCAGGGATGAGTGTTTCCTAGCCGCCTGCGGGCTAGGGCACATGTTTACAAAACGTATGCGCCTGAGTTTATACCGTCTTTAGTATTTTTCTATCGAAATTGATTTATGATATTGACCAATTTCTTTCTTTTTGCAGAAGAAGCTCTAAACATGCTGCAGTCGGAGAAAACTCCTAAACGGTCTTCTGCAACCATCCGCAAAGATCTTGCGGAGAAAGCTGCGGCTGAGCTTAAGGCCAAGGTAACAAACGCCTGACCCTTTCCTACGTTGATCCTTTAAAATCATTTTCCCGGATGCTAACCTTAACTTTGGTTATTTTTTCAGGGAGGAGAGGTTGGAAAGTCGTTTGAGAAACAACTCAAACGGGCTAGGGAGGAGAACCCTACCGTTCTCAACAAAATCAAAAAATCCACCTCTGCATTAACTCCTGGCGCCTCAGCCGGGCCTAAGCCGATGCGGATAGCGGGGCGACTCGAGAAGGTAGGCGGCAGCCTGTGCCTTAATCTTGTCAACCCCTTATCAGCAGCCGCGGGGTTCACCACGCCTGCAAGCGGTTCCCGCTTGGCCGGCTCTGAAGGTAAGAACCCTTTTGAATCCCCGCTTGAGCTAGGGTGGCCTTTACGGGTGAAATCCCACTCTCAACAGACGTCATCCTCAGACGGTCGGCAACAAATAGGTGCTGCCTTAGTTTCACACTCATCACGTATTGATTGTGGTGCAGATCAATCTCCCCGCTGGCCAGACGTCCAGAAGCATGCCAAGGCCATGCTGGAAGCCGTCAGGAAGAGGGATAAGGACAGTATCCCTGGGATAGAGACGTTCAATCTTGAACGCATTCTATCCCTTCTAGCTGAGGAAAGAAACTTGTTAATTCAATTTTATTTTCTCCAAGTGTTCTATCCCGCCTGCAATACTTATGTCGCCTGACTTTTTTGCAGGCCATGCTGCGGGTGGACGGGCTCAAACGTCCTTATTCCCGCAAACGGGAAGAGGTAAAAAGGGCCAAGAAGTCCGCCATAGACGCTGATAATATTGCTTTACACTCGACTATCGTAAATGAACTTGAAACTAAAGCAATAATTATGACACAGGCATCTAAAATCCAGCAGATGGAGTTAGATCTGAAGGCGGCCTATCAGCGGGCGACAGATGCTGAGACGGCTAAGAAGGAGGCGGAGAAGGCCCAGAAGAAGGCGGACGAGAGCGCCAAGAAGGCTGATGAGGCGCTCAAAAAGGCCCAGATGGACCTTGGCACACTTAAAGGTGTTTCCGAAGAGAACACCAAACTGAAGAGCAAGGTTCAAAAGCTGGAGAAGGAGGTTGCTCAGGCTCAGAAGAACTTTGCAGCAACCCTGGAGGCGGAGCAAAACCGCCTTGTTGCTGAGAGTGACGCTGACAACGACGCCCGTATGAAGATTTCCTGGGCTGCCTTGTACCCAGACGCGGATTAAAGCATCTGGGCACTGGCGCACAGCTATGCCGAGTACGTGGTGTACTTGAGAGAACAAGGCGAGCCAGAGCCTACCTCCTTCGAAGCCTGGGTCAACTCCAACAACGAGCCATCCGCGCCTGAGCTTCCTGGTCCTGGTGAAGCACAGGAGATACTCTCAGATGATGAGGAGAATGAGGAGGACCAGGAGGATCCGTCTGCAGGCCAGAAGTGACCACTCAGCGGCAGTATGCCAATCTTTGCTTTTTAATTTTTTTTTATTCAGCGGTTGTATGCCAAAACTTACTTTTTCTGGCCTGCGTGCCGAGTATCCTTGTATTTACCGGCTAAGGAGCCGGGTTAATTAACAATTTCTTTCTCCCAGACGGGGTCCGGTTAACATTTGATCCACTACAACCGTTTGGTTGGGTGGACTTTTATGAAATGCACCGACTGAGTCGGTTTTGATCATTTCGCATTTGAATTTGAATTTTTATTTTGTGCAAATTTTTAATTTTTCATTTTTGCCTAACTTATCAATAGTCTGGCTGTCCTTGCCCCTGGACGGCTGTGTGATTGGTTTCAAGTGGAGTTGGTTGATTGACTTGAAAACTTCTGATGCTGCAAAGAGCATGATATGTTTGTAAGTCAATCAATCACAGTAGTGATTGCCCCAAACCAAGTGCACAGCCGTACACCAATAGGCGTTTCAGTCACTACACAGACGGCGTTTGTCCGTCTTGGTAGAGATTTCATAGCCATTGAACAACTCTTTTTCCCCAATTGGGGTGGGAAGTGCAATTTTGGAATGGATAACCTAAGTGAGAACTTCAGCCGGTGACCGACTGATGCCTATGGGCATCTGGTATCTGGAAACTTATTCATTCTTCATAGGTTATTTATGTCAGACGGCTATGAGTTGACCAATTTGGTCGTTCAATTTTTGTCGTCTGCATAGGTACGTAGAACCGACAAATAGCCTGTTCTCTGCGACGATTGCACCCGGAGGGGTGTCGCCGGACGCCTTTGTCCATGTTGGGACAGGCGATTTTATAAAGCGAGCAACCATCCGGTCATTTTAGCCTCTGGTCTTGTTTGAGACCGGTTGTATAGCCACTAAACATTTTTGTGCTTAGCTTTTAGTCAGTATTGAATTTACACTAAGTATCGAACTTAGTTTTTTAAACAAACGGGTCAGTCTGGGTATTACCCAGGCAGATAATCAGGCAGTTGAATAAACAAAGTATCAAACTTAAATAAACAAGGGATCCGAGTATTACCCAGGCGGTCCAACAAATGTAACCTTTACTAAGTGTCAAACTTAGTTAGGTAAAGAAGAATCTGCCTGGGTATTACCCGGGTGGATAATCAAACAAACTCAATTTTGCAAACAAAGTCTGGATCTTCATTAATTGACTCACTGTTTACAAAAAGTTTACAATCTCAGAAGTAGTACTTTTTTAGATTGTCTACATTCCAAGTTCTAGGCAGACGCCTGCCGTCTGGGGTTTCCAGGCGGTAGGTGCCATTTCTTACTTCTTCATAGATCCGGTAGGGGCCTTCCCAATTTGGAGTTAGCTTTCCCAGCTCATTGGCCCTACCGGTTGCCTCCATTTTCCGTAACACTAAGTCGTCAACTTTCAAAGGACGCTTGTGTACTTTTTTGTTGTAGGCTCTCGTCATTCTCAGACGGTAAATCTCATGACGCAAGGCGGCATTGCCCCTGCGCTCCGGGAGTGAATCCAATGCCAGGCGCATTGCTTCCCAGTTTGCCTCTTCATCGTATAGCATGACTCTGAGAGTCGGCTCGTAATGTTCGATGGGCAAGACGGCTTCTGCACCGTAAACCATGAGAAATGGGGTTTCACCGGTTGCCCCTTTTTCTGTTGTCCGGATGGCCCATAGGACATGTATTAGCTCTTTTGCCCACAAGCCATCGGCTCTTTCTATTTTCTTCTTAATTCCGTCTGTGATGAGTTTATTGAAGGCTTCAACTTGGCCGTTTGCTTGGGGCCGGCCAATAGATGCAAAATAGCTTGAGATCCCCTAATCTCCCAACCAAGTTTTTAGCTGAGGCGTCTCAAACTGAGGACCATTATCAAACACCATAGACATAGGTACCCCATACCAGGTGATAATGTTATTCCAAATGAAGGAAATTACGTCTGAGGTCTTGATGTTTTTAACCGCCTCAGCCTCCACCCACTTGGTGAAATAATCCACAGCCACCAAGATGTAGCGCATTCCGCTTGGAGCAGGCGTGTAAGGACCTAGAATGTCCATGCCCCATTTTGCAAATGAGATTGAGCTGTGGATGGCCGTCAGATCAGTAGCCGGACGGTGAATGAGTTTGCCAAATTTTTTACACTTGTCACATTTCTTCACCAACTCCTTGGCGTCTGCCTCAAGAGTGGGCCAAAAGTAATGTCGTCTGGCTCTGACGGCTAGGGACCTGCCGCCTATATGAGAGGCGCAGAATCCTGAGTGCAAGTCTTCGAGAACTTCTTTCCCCTTTTCTGGGGTGACACACTTCAACAAAGGCTTCAGAAACCCCGCCTTGAAGAGTTCTCCATTTTTCAACTCGAAGCTTGCAGCTCGCTTTTTCAGGACGGCTGCTTCCTGTGGCAAATCAGGAAGTGTGCCGTCTGAGAGATAGGCCCGGATGGCATCCATCCAGGTAGAGCTTCGGTCCAGAATTCCAACGGGATCCTCATAGATGCTTCTCTTTTCAAGAACTTCCCAGAAGACTGACTGAGACGTATCATGGCAGGCGGAAGATGCCAGCTTTGACAATGCATCCGCCTGGTTGTTTTCCGACCTAGGCACCTGATTCAGCCGGAATTCCTCAAGTGCCTTGGTCTCTTCTTTGACTACCTGAAGATATTTAATCATAGCCGGATGAGTAGCCTCGTAGCTTCCCTCATACTTGCTAACAACCAATTGAGAATCAGAGTAGGCGTCAATTTTCATGGCCCCTGCCGCCTTACACATGCGAATGCCGGCTAGCAGGGCTTCATATTCCGCCTCATTGTTAGAGGCTTGAAATTTGAAGCGTAGTGCATACTCAAATCTGTCCCCTTCAGGAGACTCGTAAATTACGCCTGCACCACAACCGTTCTTAGTAGAGCTCCCGTCTGCATACACTTTCCAAACCTGATCAAGATTATCCGGAGCCACCGGATGGGTCATTTCAACAATGAAGTCGGCAAACGCCTGACCTTTCACTGCCTTACTTGGTTCGTAAGTGATTTCAAGACTTTGCATTTCAATAGCCCATTTCAACATTCTCCCGGATGAGTCCAAGGTAGACATTGGTCGCTTGAGTGGCTGGTCGGTGTAAATCACCACCGGGTGTGCCAGAAAGTAAGGCTTCAATTTTTTGAAAGCCATATACAGAGCAAGGCCAAATTTTTCAACCATGGGATACCAGAGTTCAGCATTTTTAAGAACATGGCTAATGAAGTAAACCGGGAGTTGCACGCCGTCTCGCTCAGCAAGAAGAACGGCACTGAGGGAATGATCTGAGATGGCTAAGTACATGTACAACGTCTCCCTAGGTAAAGGACTAACCAACCTAGGTTGAGAATGTAAATGCTCTTTCAACCTCTGGAATGCCGCCTCAGCATCCTCCCCCCACTCAAATCTGGTTTTCTTCCTGATTGCTTGGAAGAAGTAGAGGCACTTGTCACCTGACCGACTGAGGAACCTCCCCAGGGCAGCCAAGCAGCCAGTGAGCCTCTGCAATTCCTTGACAGAATGGGGTGACTTCATGTCTATCACCGCCTGTATCTTTTCAGGGTTAGCCTCTATCCCCCTTTGATCAATCAGGAATCCGAGAAACTTCCCAGACTCAACACCAAAGACGCATTTTTTAGTATTTAACATAACCCTATGTTGCCTGAGGGTGGTGAATGTTTCTCGGAGATTAGCAAGGTGATCCATCTGTAGCTTGGATTTGACTATCATGTCATCAATGTACGCCTCCACATTCCTCCCAATCTGATTAATGAAGACCGTATTAATCATCCGTTGGAAAGTGGCAGGCGCATTTTTCAAGCCAAACGGCATCACTGTATAACAGAATAGCCCCTGATCAGTGACGAAGGCCGTCTTCTCTTTATCTTTCTTCCACAGGGGTATCTGATGGAAGCCGGAGTAGGCATCCATAAAGCTCATCAAGGCGTGACCGGCTGTAGAGTCCCATTCGCCTTGTTGAGATCTGTGTAATCAACACACATGCGCCAGGTCCCATTCGGTTTCTTAACAAGGACCACATTGGCCACCCAGTCGGGAAAATTACAAAGTCGAATGAACCTGGCGTCTAGCAGCTTTTTGACTTCGGCAGCTGCCGCCTGACTTTTTCCTCGCCGTGGTTTCTTTTCTTTTGCCAGGTGGGCTTCTTTTTGGGGTCCACAGCGAGTTTGTGGACAGTGAGATCCGGGATGACGCCTGACATCTCTTCCACTTCAAAGGCAAAAATGTCTTTAAATTCCTTCAGCAGAAGGTGCAAGCTTGCACCCAAGGTAGCATGAGCAACCGTCCCAACCTTAATAGTACGTTCTGGACGGCTGTCATCCAGAACGAGATCAATGCTTTCGCCAGCCGGTTGGGGACGGAGCTCATCTGACCGTTCACCGGCCAGTGATTGCTATTTTTTCTCTTTCTTCACCTCCACCAGCAGAGGTGCCTTTCTTTTCTTTCCGGCTGCTGGTGGGGCAGGAGCTGGGTCGGCATCCTTGACATTGTCAAGGTCTATTGGTTCCTGACCGCCTGGGGCCATGGTATCTCGGACGGCTGAGAGATAACACTCTCGGGCCGTCTTCTGATCCCCATTCAAGGAACCGACAGAGCCGTCATCCCTCCCATACTTGATGAGCATGAGGGACGGGATGATTACTGCCTTGGCTTCGTTGAGAGTTGGCCGGCCGAGGATGATGTTGTAGGCAGTCAACTCCTCAACGACCAAGAATCTGACGACAATATGTCGTCCCTGGCCTTTCTCCCCCAGCCGGATGGGTAATT